TTCGCAGTACTAATGTTATATCTTGATCTATACATAGTTTTTCCTTAGTACTTCATTTTAGGGTTTTCCTTTGTTTTGAATAAGGTTTTCCCTTAGTTTGGTATAAGTTTGTTGTTGATTTCCTTGTAAGTGTTGTTTGGCAATCTTTACCTTTAATGAATTTCTTTTGATATTAAAAAAAAAAAGAGTGTTTTAACACATTTCAAAATTTATATTACAAATGTCTACCATTTAGTTTTTGGACTAACCAATGTTGATTATTTGAATAGTGGGTTCTTATTTTCAATTTGTATTCCAAATCATTAATTACACATTTTAATTAAATGAAACCTCCGATTAATGAAGAACAAAAAATTAATAAAAAATAATTTAAGGAAAAGAAATATTTTATTGAAATTGTTATGGATTTTGAACCCTTGAATACAAAGTACAATTCTTGGGTTTAGAACCCTTTACCTATTGATGGCCATTATGCGTTTGCAATGTAGGCTTTTGAGTTCTCCCAATTTCTCTTCTTCCTCCTTATGCAAACTTGAGTTCTCCCAATTTCTTTTCTTCTTCCTTGCGCAGACTTCTTTGACTTCTAATTTCTTTTTCTCTCTAACTTTTGATATCTGATCTCTTGATTTTTCGATCTCTTGATTTTCAATTCCCTCACTTGTGTGGTGATCCTCATATTTATAGAGGCCATCTTTTGTGATAACATTGCACTATCTTCAATTTGAATTTCAAATTGAATGATAATACCGCTTGAATTTGATATCATCATATCTGATTAATCGTAATCCGATTAACCGTACTAATCCTTTGAATTTCATCCCATGTGGTGTCCTTGTTGTAGGTTCTACAAGTGTCATCCTTTGTAGGCTCCATGTGCCATTTGAGTATCTTGGATAATGTCATTGAGATACGATGTTGTTTTATTTATACACTTCAATGGATTATATTGATCATTTTAGAAAGTGATTACCTACAACATTCCTATCATAAGCTTCATGCGTGTCATTGACTGATTGACAGTATTTGAAATTTTAACATAAATTTGGTTGAATGTGTCAACAAATGCCCTCTCGTGATTTATACAAGTGAATTTTGTTAAATGTGCAAGTCACGACAACTTGGCGCTTTTATGTAGACCTCCTTTAGATCCTGAATGTGATTATTTCTTGGCCTTGATCACTTTCGACCTGTGTATTGTTTTTTAAGACCTTTTCGGATGATGGGTTTTTTTATGTAGACTTTTTTTTTTTTGTTGGGGTTTTTTTCTTACTATGCCATAACTGGACCTTACAAAGAATTTAATTAATTTTTTTTATGAGTTGGATGCACTTTATTGTCCATGTATATCTTTTATTTATTTATTTATTTATTTTTGTTGTATGGGTCTTTTTTTTTTTTTTTCCGTGGACTTGATTTTTTCTTTTCTATAATTTATAATTTTTATTTTTTATGAAAAGTCATGGGGTATGGTTCAAGAATTTAACTGGGCTTGCTCTTTTTTTTTTTTCTTTTTTTTTTTCGACTTGATCCTTTTTTTTAATTTTATTTTATAATTTTTATAAAAGGTCATGGATAAAGTCCAAGAATTTAATTGGGCTTTTGTTTTAAGGATCTACTTCTTCATTTCTTGCGGGCCTTTTACTAACTTGCCAACACTTTTGTTGCAGGAGTCTTTTTATTTATAAGACTCCTAATCCTATTATACTTTTTTTTTAAATTTTTTTTTTTACAATAGATTTTTCTAGGTCATCATGTGTATTGATAGGATTTCAAATCCTACACGAACTTTTACTTCTTTGAAGTGTTTCAAATGTTACATAAACTCTTATTTCTTTGAAATGTTTCGGGAATTCACTATCTCTTTTCTTAAGTAAGACTTTTTATTTTATACAACAACTATTCATGCATGTAGCCAATATATATTTTTCTCTTGCAACTTTTCTTTCCTCCAACAAATTTCTTAGTGCATATAAGATCTTCATCCTTCCAGTAGAAGTCATTCTTGGAGAACACAAAAGACTCCGTTCAAATCTCTTCATATTTTCAACCAAAGTTGTTTTTGGTGAACACAAAAGAATCTCTCCAAATCCCTTCATGTCACGTTTGTTTTTCTCCTACTTTTGGAGGAGGCTTTTTTGGCTTTTTGAGGTTAAAATAACACTAAAAGATAAAATAAGTTAAAATAGTCAATCAGATAAAATGTTATATCAAACTTATAATTATTTTATTTTTTTTTCTCACAAACATTACAATCAACTATAAAAAAATTAACCGTCTTTTCAAACATAATTATTTTAACCAGACTAAAATAGCTAACTATTAAAATAATCTACTAAGCCAACTTCCCAAATGGGCCAGTAGCATATAGATTTGTATTTGAGCAACTCCTCTAGCCGAGCAAGGATCCTCTCCCTCGCTCCTTACTTGGTGAGCCATTGGGCTCACTTTTGGGCCCAATTTTAATGATTCAAATCGTTCACATTTTAGGATTTGTCAAGCATATTATACATGTACAAAATTAAGTTGATCGGATAACGGAAACCACGTGTTTGGATCATCAAACTAAAAATTATTTATTAAAAAAAATTTAATAAACAGTTATTTGAACACATGGTTTTCAACATCTGATTGACTTCATTTTTTACAGGTATGATACACTCGACAAATCTTAAAATGTGAACAATTCGGATCATTAAAATTGGGCCCAAAAGTGGGCTCAATGACCCACCCAATAGAGAGCCAAGGAGAGGATACTTGCTCCCTCTAGCCTCCTTTTTTAGTGGAGAACCTGTTTTTTTCTTTTTTTATTTATTTATATAAATTATGTATTTATTTTTTTTTTTGTATATATATATATATATTATAGTAGCAGCCTTTGTTTAGCAATTTTTTTAACTAAAATGGCCCAAATATGAACAGAGTCAACTCCTATTTTTTTATCAGCAATGATTCATCCCACTAAAAACATCACCACTAATAGCACTAATGCATTAAAAAAGTAAAAAAAAAAAAAAAATCTCTAACCATTTTATGTTTTTTCAAAACCTTATTTACAAAACTAGGGATTTTTTGCACTTTATTCCCAAACCATTTGCATGAAGCCGAGGGGTGCTGGCAAAATAGAACTAGGGAGTGGGGGAGTGAGGGCCATATAGAAGAGTTTAAAGTTTGGAGCAAGGACCCTATAGGAGTTTCTTGCTATCAAGTCCCAAATTACATGAATAAAGCACGGTTACTAAATTTCCTCATTTTGAAATTAGATTTGGAGAAGAAGTCTACTAATAATCAAAGTGCAAACAGTGCCGGAGCCAAGAAATTGAGTAAGAGGGGGCACTATTAATTATAATTTTTTATTTAAAAAAAAAATCATGATGAACATTAAAATAATAATAATTTTATGAGGTAAATTTAAGTATAAAAAATTACATATTCATTATTAATAGAAACAAATTAAAATTATATAATAGTGTAGAATAGCTCGGCGCGTGATAGTGATTTAAATTTATAATTTTAGCACAAAAAATTATGGATCAAAATTCTTTATTTTAGAAAATAAAAACACATCGTTTATAGTACAAATTATTATAAAATTTATTTAATTTTTACTTGATAGAAAAATATTAAAGAGATGACATTGCTTATAAATGATGTGTTTTGAATGAAAATTATTAAATAGTCTTCAAATACCATATAGCATTGCCTACGTGATGCTCAAAGCATGAGAAATCACAAATCATACTAAGCAGTCTGCCAACTGCTTGAAAGTAATGAGTTCATTATATCCAATCTATAATATTTTTCGCTATACTATTAGTTTAAACTATTATATAAATAATGTCACACAGTACTTTCAAAGTATCAAATAATTACTTGTTATGAACAATACAATAAATTCTTAACCAAAAATATGTTAAGATAAAAAAAAACATTTCATATATGACAAAAAAAAAAAAAAAAAAAAAAAGAAAAAAAAGGGGGGGGGGGGGGGGGCCCCCCCCCCCCCCCCCTTTTCCCCCCCCCGTCTTCCGCCACAACTACCCACCACCTACCCCCCACCACCCCCTCCAGCCACCACTCACCAGCCACCTGCCACCACCACCCACCACCCGCTACCACCAGCCACCACCCACCTGCCACCCACTCGCCATCACCACCGCCCACCTGCCATCCACCCATCATCGCTAAACCCAAATTTGAACAAAGACTGTCCTTTCTTCCATTTTTTTAAATTATTATTATTATTATGTGAGTGTTTGAGAAGTGAGTTTTTTTTATAAATTTTTTTAGTTGTAGGATATTTTTAGAATTTTTTTTTTTGTATTTGAAAAAGATAGTTGAATTTTTTATGATTAAATGTGATGTTTGTGAGAGAAAAAATAAAATAATTATGAAATTTGATGTGATATTTTGTTTGAATTTATTTTTTTAATTTTGTAACTAATTTATCTTTTAATAAAAAAAAGGGCAAATTACATATACACCCCTCGAGGTTTGGCTAAATTACAGATACACCCCTGAGGTTTCGGAAATTACATCCCGCCCCCTGAGGTTTGTATTTTTATAACAATTTGCCCCCTGAGGTTTATATTTCATAACAAATTACCCCCTAATTTCTTATGCAAATATAGCATTCAGGGGGGAATTCGTAATTTCTCAAACCTCAGGGGGGCATTTGTAATTTAGCCAAACCTCGAGGGGTGTATATGTAATTTGCCCTAAAAAAATAAGAAAAAACAAAAAAATCAAATTGCCAAACACCGCCTATTTTCCTTCCTTTTAGAAGAAGCTAATCCCCCCTCCTCTTTTTTACTTGAAAGAATAAACAAAGACTTTTCTTCTTTCTTTTATCATAGCCACAAACCTGCTGCCTTCTCTGCCTTCTTAATTTGTTTTTTTCTAGATCATAAACCCAAATATAAACCAATTCCCCCACTGCTCAGATCAACTATAAATATATATATATATATATATAAACAAAATTACAAATCATCTCAAAACTATTTTCAGAACTCATAACCAAATGAATTTTGAACTTATAAAATTCTTTTCAACAACTTATTGTTCAAAATACAGCTCAAAAACTCATTTTAAAAACTAAACCAAACAGAGTCTTCATTGTGACTCGAATTTATTCCCGTGAAAGAATTTCATTCTCCACGGTTGGGAAAACATTTACTCTCTGTGCAGGGCTGAGTGAAAATTGAGCAAAGAAATGTCATTTACAGTTGATGGCCTGAAGTCCAGAGGATTATTCCATTGCGCCGATCGATCTTTGGACCATCTCATGTTTAGGTTTTCAACCTCCAGGCCTTCAATATGCTCCATGATGATCCCTGCCATGCTGTGTTTAACAAGCCCTTCACATCCCGGCCTGTAATCTACCAATCCACCATCATAAGTTGTCCATCTTTTGTAAGTGATATTGACATTTAAGAATTTCAGATTTCTTAAAACCCCCCCTCTTGATCCTAGTAAGACGACGCCATTTTCTGATTTTGCTGTGATGTTGACAAACTGCACATTGGAGATTGAACCTGCTTTTGAGTTTCTGTGCCTAGGGCAGGTTGTCACATAAATAGGCTCCGCTCTACCCCACCACGAGGGATCATAATATCTTGTGCTGATATTTATGTTTGAGAAAGTAATGTCACTTACATTTCCTGCACAAAAATGAATAATTAGAACACCAAAATTATTGACATCAAATTCAGAACAAACATGCTCATAATTTTGTCGAGCTAGGGTTAGTTTAGACTTGGTGGTTACCAGCTAAAGACAGCACTCAATTAGGAGTAATTTTGTTGGACCCAAGTTAGCTCAACATCAATCAACTAAAGTTATGTAAGATTTAGAAGATCATAAACCAGAAGAAAAACAATCCAAGATCATTGATATACACAACTGAACTAGGTTTCACAAAGCTTTGTCCCACTTGTCTCCAATTTGCAAAGTCACTTTACTTTACACAATCAAGAATTATTATTGAAAAAAAGCCCAATAAAAAATCATACAGTTCATCTCATTTACAGCCTTTGAGGCTAAATTAAAGTATGCTTGATGCTTAAAACTATAGATCCATAAATGTAATCGACAATCCATCTTATCTATGAGGGAGGCCCCTTTTTTTTTTTTTTCTTCTCTCTCTTTCAACTAATCAGAATGCTCTAGAAAATACAGAACATATGTATCTCTCTTCAGTCCAACTAGCTAAATATGTAGAGTCTTCGTTCAGTGATATTTTTGTTACTCAATGCATATATGAAGTCAGTCACAGAAATATCAAAATGCTTTTGGCTCCTAGCAATGCATTTACAGCAATCTATTTTTAGTACCATTCATCCATATGCTTTTTATGCACTATCAAAAAAAGCCTACGCAAAGAATTAACATGGAAAAGGTTGCTAAGGATTCCATGGGAACTGAATGCTGTTACCTCCATCACGTATCTGCAGCCCAAGCCCCCGATGAGAATCTACAATGGTGATATTGTCAAATACCAAGCCCTTAAATGCAAACCAACTAGCACTACCAAGCTTGATTCCTGAAGATTTTGTTCTGATCCAACAATTTGTTGCCGTTAGGTTATGGAGGGGGCCACTGGATGTCTTCGGACAGATTGCATCATCTCCTGTATCGATGTTGCACCTCGTGATGACTGTATTATTTGAATCCTCTATATCTATCCCATCATTGTTGGGTGTGTTGAAATCTCCATAGATAGAAACATCATGAATGAATGAGTTTTCACACTGTACTAGGTGCAAACTGCACTCACACAGCTATTTTTATCAGGTAGAAGCACAAAACTAAAGCAAGAAAAAGGGAAAAGCGGTTTATAATGCATTAACCAAATTCTATTGTGTTTGATGGAAATTCATTTTAGAAGCAGGAACAGTCAACATCAAAATGGAACAGGCAGTATCAAAATTCTATACAAGCACAATCATATCCCGTTTAGCTTGGGTAGTTAAGTGACTAAGTTTTGAGCTATGAAATAAGTGACCCAAGAATCAATCAAGATTTAGCTAACATAGATTAGATGAAATCAAGCAACTTTGAACATTCAATTGCATGATCTATTGATAAAATTCTTAGTGTTGATCCATTAATTTATATATGTGTGTGTATTTAGGCATTGATATTTCTGGTTAGTTTCTCTCCTTTATCAAGAATCTTAACATTAATTTATTATGGAGCCACGTCTTCCTGATGCCCAGATGCCCCCCATAACAGATATTGGAAGCAATAATCAAGGCAGAGAATATATTTTTTTTGCTTAGTCTAATTGTGAAAATTGAAGTATTATTGATTGATATTGATGTGTTGTGTTGTTTTTATTACAATTACAAGGATTCCTATTATATAGGAGTGTGTTTGGGAGTAGGTGGAGAGTAGGTGAAGTGGAGGTGGTAGTGGTGTAGTGGGTTAGGTTTAGTGGAGTAGGTGAGGTGGTAGTGGTGGTAGGTTTATGGTAAATTCTAACACTAATATTTGGTTATGACATTTGTTTCTTCTTTTCGACCTCAGAATCCATAGTTCCTAAATAATTATAGCTATGACAAATCTTTATGCTGTCATTCAAATTAACTAGAAATTCAATAACTTTCAGTTCAAGCAAAAGATCTTGAAATTCATTCAATAATTATCTAGAAAATCAACTTTGTCCAAACTCTTGATGGAAGTCAACAAATTGTTAAGACATTGTTAATGGCACTAACAAATTTGACCAACATAAACTGATTGAAAGTAGAAAAAAAATTGCATAACAAAATTATCAACACAGGGATGTGTTAAATTGATGGGAAAGAAAAATAAAACAAAGAAAAATAAAACCATTTCCTTTTTTTAAAATACAATCATAAATAGAAAACAAAATTATTAAGAACAAAAAATATATGTTTTTACTTATTTTGAAAACAAGTTTCATTGTTTCCACAAATATGTTGTTTTTAAGAACAAAATATGCTTTCTATTATTGATTACTGACAACATTGCCAAATGCTTCGTAAATCCATCATTTTTTCTTTAAAATTTATTTTTATGTAATCATCTTATGCTTTCATGTAAAAGCTGAGGGCGGGGTGTGGAGCTGTTAGGAAAGGTAGAGGACAGTGGGAGAGGGGTAGGGGTAGGGGTAGTGGCTGCTAAGACATAGGGGTGACACCATTGATGGATGAGTGGTGTCACCCGAACCCCTTAAAAAAAAATTATTATATATGACTTTTTATTTTTTAAATAAATTAAATATAATTGTCAATTTGTCACCACTAAAAAAATGAGTTTGAACCATCATATAGCTATACAACATTTCATTACCACTTCCAAAAATGTCTTGCCTATAGTTTGTTAGAATATCTAAAATAGTTCCATTTCAAGATAAGAATTGCTATCACGTATATTCATTCGATTGTATTTGGTTTAGATTTGTTTGACCAAATTTAACTTTTGCCCATAGCCGCAAAAAAAATCCCCAAATAATTTCTCTCATATTGTAGTTCGATATTCCCTGTGAAATTTGAGAACTAATGGGAGCCTGCGTATCATGTACGCAAATGTATATAATTTTTTGATTGTTGTGTACGGTTCAAGTATTTCTTGAGTACGAACAGGGTACTTGTGTATGGTACGGAGAGGTTTAAATGCATTACTCTTAAAAATATATAAAAATACCATAATAAATAGATATTGTGTGTATTTTTAAATAAAATAAATGAAAGGTATCTGTTGATAAACAAGTTTAGGAGAAACTAACAGTTGTTTATTGAGCATTAAAAGAATAAAGAATACAAAAGATATATATATATATATATATATATCTAAGCTAAGCAAACCCTAAAAGTACCAAAGACTAAACTATCCTTAATAATAAATAATAATATCAAATAAATATATGATTAACACCCCCCTCAAACTCATGATGTGACAGTAGGAAGTATCGAGAGTTTGTCCAATAGAAAACGAAAGCGCAAAGTTGTATGAGACTTCGTGAAAAAATCAGCCAATTGCATAGTAGATGGCACAGACAGTAAGGACAAAGTATGAAGTTGAAGATGATGACGCACAAAATGACAATCAATCTCAATATGCTTAATCCTCTCATGAAAGACAGAGTTATGAGCAATCTGGATGGCACTTCGATTATCACAATACATAGGCGTACGAGTAGAAAGTGAAATACCAAAATTAGTGAGTAACCATCGCAACCAAACAACAGAAGAACGAGAAACAACTGTTTGCTTCTTACTCTTCCAAGAGATAAGGGAAGTACCCAAAAACACACAAACACCAGTAGTGGACTTACGATGCATAGCATCACAAGCCCAATCAGCATCAGAATAGGTCCAATGACGATGTAGAGGAGAAAAACAAACTCTGATGCAAAAGACCCACGAAGATATCACAAAATATGAAGAATTGCAACCCAATAAACCATAGTAGGAGAGGCAACAAATTGGCTAACAATATGGACAGCAATATTAGGACGAGTAACAGTAAGATAGACAAGGTTACCTACAAGAACATGATACAAAGTAGGACTAGACAAAGGAACCCCATCAGTCGAAGTTTAATGCACATTAAGCTCAAGGGGAGTGTCAACAATGCAAGTATCAGTCAACATAGCATGGTGAATGACCTCTAAGGCATATTTGGACTGAGAGAGAAGATAGCCTTTTTAGGAGAAGCCACCTCAATGCCTCTGAAATATTGAAGAGGACCAAGATCCTTCATCTCAAAATGACGACTGAGATGACCTTTGAGAGCAGAAATTCCATCAAGATCATCACCAGTGATGATCATGTCATCAACATACAAGAGAAGAATAATCCGACCAATAGAGGTAGAGCGAAGAAAGAGAGTTGAATCATAATCACTAGTATGAAAACTCAAAGTAGATACAATAGTAGCAAATTTTTCAAACCAAGCATGAGGCGCCTGTTGGAGGCCATATAACTGTTTGCACATTTTACAAACAGAGCCAAAAGGATAAGGAAGCCCAGAGGAGGCGCCATGTAGATCTCGTCCGTTAGATCACCATTCAAGAAAGCATTTTCGACATCCATTTGGGAAAGGAACCAGTGATGAACAACCGCAACAGCAATCAAAGTGCAAATAGTGGTCATCTTGGTAACAGGAGCAAAGGTCTCCTCATAATCGATTCCATATTCCTAAGAAAATCCTTTAGCAACTAAACGGGCCTTATACCGTTCAATGGAACCATCAGCCTTGGTTTTAGTTTTAAAAACCCAACGACAACCCACAACATGTTGACCAAAGGAAGAGGAACAAGATCCTAAGTGCCAGTAGCATGCAATGCAGAAAGCTCCCCATTCATAGCCTGCTACCAAAGAGGATTAGAAACAGCCTCCTTATAGGAGGTAGGCTTAGAAATAGAGTGAATAGAAGCCAAAAAAGAAGAGAATTTAGAAGAATAACAAGAGTTAGAGAAACCCAACCAATCAAGACACTTACACTTTCTTTAAGGACAGTGAGAATCAACAGGAGCCTCATCACAAGCAACTGATGGGGCCTCAACGGAAGAAGGGAGAGCAGTGAGACCTGTAGATAAGTCACGCTTCGTCCGACGAACATAAGTATGAATTATAGGAGGGGGAGAAGGAGCAAGAGGAACATCAGGAGACAACAGCAGAGGGGAGGAAGACGAAGAGGGAAGATCAGAAGGAGATAGGTTACAAACATACGAATCAGAAGGAACAAAGTCATGAAAGGGATCAAGATAAATAAGATCAGACCGAGAGACAGAAGTCAATGCAGATGGGATGGAAAAGAAAGGAATATGTTTTAAGAAGACAACATGGCAAGAAACATAGAGACGTCTAGTAGAAGGATCATAGCAACGGTAACCTTTCAGACCCTCACCATACCCAAGGAAAACGTACATAGCAGAACGAGCAAATAACTTAGTGCATTCAACACGAGAAAGAGGGACAAAACAAGTACAACCAAACACATGAAGAGAAAAGTAATATGGTAGTTTGCTATGTAATCGTTCAAATGGAGAGATACCAAAGGTCACCTAGGAGGGAATATGAGTAATAAGATGAACAACGGTAAGAATAGCCTCACCCCAAATAGAATTAGGAATAGAAGAAGAAAGCAATAAAGAACGAGCAGTCTCCATAATATGGCGATGCTTACATTTGGCCACACCATTCTATTCAGGTGTGTCAGTACATGAAGACTGCTAAAGAGTACCATCAAATTGTAATAACTAAAGAAAACTAGTATCCTGATATTCCCCACCCAAGTCACAATGAAAGCATTTAACAACAACAGAGTATTGGGTATGAATCATGGCATGAAAAAAAGAAAAAATAGAAGAAAATTCAGATTGACGTTTCATAAGATAAACCCAATAATGACTAGTGTAACTGTCAATTCATGACACATAGTTTTAGAACCCCCTTTAGTAGGAATAGGAGCAGGATCCCACATATCAGAACGTACCAGATCAAAAGGAGCAGAAGAAATAGTACTTTTATTAAAAGATAAAGCAGTAAATTTTGCAAGTTTGCAACCACTACAATCTGAAATATTATGAGTACTACAATTTCCAAAACACCAGTCGAAACTAAGGGGTTGTTTGGAATGACCTAAATAAGTGCACTTTTTGCCTTTTACGAAAAGATGTGCAGAAAAGTAGAGAGGTGATGTGATGGAAAAAAGATAAAAAGATGGATTATTTGAGGTATGCCAAACTTGGCCTAAATATTGTAAATGAAACCTAGAAACGTGACCTAGGCGAG